TGTGCTTGCTGGTTCCCTGGACTTCTGGACTTCCTGACGATGGACATTGGTATTACCCCCAAAAGAATCCTATAACCCTACCCAGCAGGAAGAAGTAAGGAGGGCTGCTATGTCTCCTCTCCCTTACAAGCTTCTTCTTTCCCTACCTGGGATTGGGAGGGGGTTGGAAGGGACCTATAAGCTTTAAGGAACCACCGAATAAAGTAGCATTTGAAAACCTAGCATCTGGGAGTGCCGATTGAAGGCCATACTTTTTAACTCTATTTTATTTACGTTTCTTATACCCCACCCCAATCCTTTCTGCCACCCCAACACTGGGTAGGACAGAAAGCACGTTAGTGAGGAGAGGAGGTGGAGTGCTCTTTAGCTACTTCCTGCTGGTTCCTTAGGGCAAGTCCAATCTTTGTTTCAGAATAGCTCCAACTTCTCATCAAACTGTGTCAACAGCAACCAGGAGCGGCAGGGGGGCCGCCCCAGCAGCCGCCTTCCTTCTCCCAGCTCGGGCCTTTATTCCCTCTCAAAGTCCTCACAATTAAACTGTCTGCAACTGGGAAAGAGCCCCTCTCAGAGCCAAATGAGGCTAACAGTGTGCTGCTGTGGACCACCTGAGTCAGCCCCGAATCCGACAGCTGGGATCAAAACAGGAGCATGTTTACATCCACTTATGCTTGAAAATGCCACAATAAAGTCGGGTTTGGTGCTGTGCACGCCTACACTCCCAGCACTCTGGGAGGCAGAGGCAGGTGGATTGCTGGGAGGCCAGCCTGATCTACAAAGTGAATGCAGGCCAGCCAAGGCTACACAGAGAAACCCTGTCTCAAAAAAGAAGGAAATACCACAATGAAATTCATTACTTTAAATGCCAGCTTAAAAAGTTAATGGGAACCCGGTGGTGGTGGCACACGCCTTCAATCCCAGCACTTGGGAGGCAGAGGCAGGTGGATCTCTTGAGTTTGAGGCCAGGCTGGTCTACAGAGTGAGTTCCAGGACAGCCAGGGCTACACAGAGAAACCCTGTCTCGAAAAACAAAAACAGGGGCTGGAGAGATAGCTTATCAGTTAAGAGTACTGACGGCTTTTCCGGACAGACCCTCGTTCAATTCCCAGAACCCACATGGCAGCTCACAACTGTTTTTAACTCCAAGAGCTGACACCCACACACAGACATGCAGGCTAAACACTAATACACATAAAATAAAGAAAAAAAAAAAAGAAAACAATAAAAAAGTGGGGGTTGAAGAGATGGTTCAGTATTTGGGAGCTGGTTATTCTTAGAGGACGCAGGTTCAGTTTCAGCACTCATGGTGGCGCGCAACCATTTGTTACTCCGTCTAGTTCTGTGGGAGCTGAGGCACTTTTCTCATCTCCGTGGGCACCAGGTGCACACGTGGTACGCAAACATACATGCAGGCACAACATAGAAAGCTTAAAAGCAAATAAAAATTAATGAAGGGCAAGCCTGAAGAGATGGTTCAATAGACCAGAATGGCTCATATAAAATTGTGGGTTTCTGGAATTCCCCCCCCCCAAAGTCAGATAGCCTTGCAAACTCATGACTCTCCCACAAATGGTACCTCTTGAAGCACTGAACCCCTGCTCTAGGGTCTCGAGGGCCCCCATTTGTCAGTCCCATCTATGCTGTCCCACTTCAGCTCCAGGGCACTTGAACCAGCAGGAAAACTGTTCACACTATATACTCTCATCTATTTTATAAATGACGTTCCTGTCCGTAAGTGAATGTCACATGTGTGTGTGGGCGCCCACAGAGGCTAAAGAGGGTGCTGGATCTCCCGGAGCTGGAGTCACAGGCTGTTCTGAGCCAGCAGACGTGGGTGCTGGGAATCAAACCCGGGTCCTCTGGAAGAGCAGCCAGCACTTTAACCACTGAGAATCTCTCCAGCCCCTGTGTTTAGTACATTGCTTATTTTTGCTGTTTGGAGACAGGGTATCTGTGTCCTTAGCCCTTCTTCCTGCGAGACCAATGTTCTGATGTGAGGGAACCACAGCTCCCCAAGGTCAGCTTGGGACACATGTCCCAGGCCAGGGTTTGCTTGGCTCAGGTACAGGGTGGGCCAAGGACACAGAATAGGTAGGATGGAGTCTCATAGGTCACCTTTGCCACCATAAGGACAGAACCTGCCTGAGAGAAAGGCTAAGAGGGTGCAAAGGAGGAAGCAGCGAGGGTCCTGCTGCTTCATTCATTCATTGCTACTTATTTTGTGTGCATGTGTGTGTGGCATGCACAAGTTCGTATGCGTGACGGTGTGTGCCTACGGATGCAGACTTACATGCAGAGGGCCCAGGCTGACGCTGGCTGGCTTCTCAATTGCAACTTATTTTCCTTCAAATATTTATTTTAAAAAATTTGTGCTGGGCTGTGGTGGCTCCTGCCTTTAATCTCAGCACTCAGGAGGCAGAGGCAAGTGGATTTCTGAGTTGTGAGGCCAGCCTGGTCTACAGAGTGAGTTCCAGGTCAATCAGGGGCTACACAGAGAAACCCTGTCTTAAAAAGACCAAAACCAACCAACCAACAGAACGTGTGTGTGTGTGTGTGTGTGTGTGTGTGTGTGTGTGTGTGTGTATATGTGTGTGTGTGTGTGTCTGTGTCTGTGTCCATGTCTGTGACCAAGCCTGGTCAGAGGACAACTGAGGTCCTCCCCTTCTATAACATGGATTCTAGGGACTGAACTCAGACTGTTTAGATTTGGCAGCAAGCACCTCTGCTCACTGAACTATCTTGTTGGCCCTTCATCTTCTTTTTCTCAGACAAGGTCTCCTGCTGAATCGGAAACAGATTCCACTGGTCAGCCAGCCCCAGGCAGGGCTGGGGGGCTCTTTCGTGGGTGCTGAGAATCCAAACTCCCATGAGCCATTGCCACAGTGCTCCCTCCATTCACTTCCTGGTACTGGGGTGGAACCTACCAGCTCTCTACCACTGACAACCCAGCCCTGTTTATTTTGACATGGATCGGAGTTTCCACAGACTGGCCTGGAATTTGCCATCCTCTTGCCTCAGCCTCCTCAGTAGCTGGGATGACAGGCCTGTGCCACCAGATCTAGCAACCATTAATCTTTCAAATCAGTAACACAATGGTGGAAGCCCTCTCTTGGACGCACTGCCTATGTGTTTTGAGACAGGGCCTCGCCGTGCTGCCCTGGCTGGTCTGGAACTCACGGGAATCCACCGGCCTGTGCCTCCTGAGTTTAAGGGCATGTGCTACCATGCCTGGTGCCCGTGGAGATCAGAAGAGGGTGTCCGATGCCCCGGAACTGGGGTTAGAGGGTTGTAACTGCCACGTGCATGCTGGGGCTCAAAGGCCCCCATGGAAGAGGAGTCGGAGTTCTTAAACACTGAGCCCTCTGTCTGGGCCTCCACTGGAATGTCATACCAGGTGGGCCACTCGGAACACCTTGAAATTTGGAGCTATCAGACAAATCGGACAGCTGAGCTAGAAATCCTTACCTCGGGGTAGGTGAGATGCTCTGCCAGTCCCGGTTCAGCCACTCCAAGTTGTTACACATAAGTGCACATACATATATTCACATTAATAAATTAGAACACCCCAGAAATACCAGACTCAAGCCATTCAGTTCCACGAGCCAGGGAATCTCACCAACCTTGGGATCCCCAAATCCCCAAGACAGGGCCTCCTGGTACAGGCCACGACTACCACACAGCTCACATACTGTGGCGGTACAGGCCACGATTCAGTCCAGGGCCGGAGGAAAGAATCACCAGGTCTAGAAACTCGCCACACAAGGACCACTCAAGAATATTCACACCAGCCTCTGGCAAGATGGTTTGTTGGTAAAAGCACTTGTTGTTTAGACTGTGGATTCCCAGAACCCAGGTGGTTGCCTGGAGTGGAGTTATTCTTAAGAGCTGTCTACATACTTGCTGTGGTCCACCTGACGCTCCCCACAAAATAAAGGATACACACACCTGGAACCTGACCCCAGCTTCTTGGGAGCCCAAGTCAGGAAAATGCCAAGTTCGAGGCTAACCTGAGCTAACCAGTGAGAGCTAAAAACAACAACAACCCCAAGAGGTCATGTATGGTGGTGGCACATGACTTTAATCCCAGCACTTAGGAGGCAGAGGCAGGTGCGTCTCAGTCAGTGAGTTCAAGGCCAGCCTGGTCACCTATCCAGTTCCAAAACAAACAAAAAAACACAAGAAAGCAACCCAGGCTGGTGGCACATGCCTATAACACCAACCGCTGGAGTGGAAGCAAGAGGGACAAAAGCTAGCTTCATTAATTCAAAGCTGGCCTGGGGCTACAGGGGACTTTCTCAAAGTAACTACCCTCAGATAAAAAACAAAACAAGCCTGAAGTCAAATAAAAATCCACAAGAGAAAACTAAACCAGCTCTTTGCTATCTGGGCAGAGGCCTCCGAGAGAAAGTGCATGGCAGGCAGGTGCAGGACCCTGAGCCTTAGGCTAACCTAGGCTACGAGGAGACCCTTCCTCACAGTGGGAGAGAACCGACTCGTACAAGCTGTCATCTAACCTCCACACAAGCAAGCGTGGCCCAGCATCCACACACACATGCAAACACACGTGTTTACGCACACAGAATGAATACTTTATCTCAGTAACAGATATTCTCACTGTGTAGCCCAGGCTGGCCTGGGACTCAGAGATTCTGCTTCTGCCTCCTGGGTGCTGGGATCAAAGGCCTGTCACTGCACCTGGCCTAAAAGAAAATAAAAAAAGAATGACCACAATGGCAGGTGCCTGCAATCCCAGTTGTGACCCTGAGTGCCATGAGTTTGCGGCTAGACTGGACTGATACCAGTCTTGAAAATGCAAAAGCAAAACACAGGCTTGGTGAGTGGCTTGGGGTGGGGAATGTGTTGACCGAGAGGCTCTGGGCTCAGCATTAGCCCAGGAGAAGGGTCAAGGAAGAGGCTGTGACTCAGTCTCCCCCCCTATGTAACTAGTGGACGCTTGGTAAACATTCTTAAGTACTCTTTTCATATAATTTCAAACAAGAAAGTAGCCTTTATACAAGTCCATTTTTATTCGTAAAAAATAATATGTAACTAAAGCTAACTTGATTTTTAAAATCAAAGTTCATTTAGTGATAATGTACATTTTATAATAAAATTGTAGTAAAATACTGACATTTGATAGTTTAAACAAAGTATCATTCATGTAAAAATCATGTTATAGCATGTAAAATTTAATTAGAAAATCCATGGTTCACAACAGCACAGCATCTTCTGACATAGTTGACTGAGGACAGAACAGAATTCACAGTGAGGCTCTAGACATTCAGGACAACAAAACTGTACGCTGAGCTGCTGACATACCTCAAGAACTGAGCCAACGAGACCGGACCCCATAACCAAGATTCGCTGGCTGGCCTCACAAAATGTCTGCTGCTCACTCACTTGGTTGGTAAGACGACATTGCTAACATTATTGTCCTTTAATATATGATAAGCATCAGCAGCTTTGATCTCCATTTTCAGACGGAAGAAAAAAATCTGTGGTTTACAGTTAAAATTTGTACAAAAGTCAAGCCCTGAAGTTTTTCCCCCAAGAGAAAAAGTTCTAATGTTAAAAAAGAGAGAGAGAAGAGAGGTAGTATGTGGGAGTACTTTACTTACAATGTCGAACCCGGGCACCACTCAGCTCACGTATGCAACTGTGCCTTCTAACCCTAAAGTTACCTTCCACCCGGGAGCCGCCCCGCAGGGCTCCCGGGGCCAAAGCGGGATGCTGCTAGGCAGTGGTGCCCGGGAGGAAGAGCTCAGTGAATTCAACAGTCACTGCGTCACTCGGACAGGTAACATCTTCAGTAGCGGTGGAGTCCGCGCCCTTCACTGGGTCAAGACTTCATTTCTGCCGGCTTTTACCATAGAGAAAAAAAAAAATGTCCTTCAACCCGGAGTCATCGGAATCTTCGCTGCTGTAAGAGGACACAGCTGTGAGGTGTGCGCGCTCTCCCTGCCGTGAGCCCAGGCAATAAATAACTGTCCACCTCGGGGACTCAGGGCGGTCTGAGTCCACACGTGTAGACTTCGGTGGCTGTGCATGCGACACAGGGAGTCAGGTGAGGGGAGGCAGCTGCAGGCCCTGAGCGGATGCACAGGAAAGAATAAATAGACTCATATAATCACCCCTACGGGTAGTGAACCTGACACAGGCAGCCCCTAGAATCCCCAGGAAGAAAAACTCCGTCTTCAGTATTAAAAAAGTGCACATCTGTCCTATGTGTGAGTCTCTGAACCTGGGGGGCTTTTTATCCAAAGCGATCCACGCTGCCTGGTACACTGGAAGAGTGTTGGGAGCACGCTAACTACACTGAACAGCACACGCCAACGCACACGCGCACACACACATGCACGCACCCGATCGCTTGAGACAGGTACCACCTCCAATGGACTGGGGATAAGGAGGCCTACAGGTTAAAGGGCAATCAGCAGTACTGCCACAACTACATCCAGGGTGGGGACGAGGGTGCTTCAGGGCTGGTAGCAGGAAGCACCCCTAAACATGGCCAGCTGGTTGGTATTAGAAAATGGGGAAAACAGAACAAAAACTGCATATGAAAAAAATAATTTGTCACAATTAACAGAGGAACATTTTTAAGTCAGAATACATCAACTTTGGGAACCTAAGAGCTGACATTCCCAGTGGGTAGAAGAGAGCTCACTTCACAGAGGGCAAAGAACAGGCTCTGCACGGCAGGCGGGGACAGGCCGCGGCGGCTCCGGGGAGGAGCAGCACCCGCCCCACAGCCAAGGCCTCATACTCGCACCATCACCGCAATCAGCCCATCCCAGCCACACTTTAAGCCACGGAACACCAGGGCCTGGAGGTCCACGGGGTCAGCTGCGTGCCAGCTTTACAGTGCTCCACACACTCACTTGGAAGACACACAAGGCGGCTCACAGTGTTATGATCGTTCCATCCTCCTCTAAGAGTTTCTGGCCCTGAGCGCGGGTTTCCAGCTCTGTGTCCAGGCTGCTGGGCCCGGGCACCAGGCTGGTGTCCTGCGGCGGGGAGAAGCCGTTCTGTCCCGACTCAAAGCTGAGCTCGATCTGCGTCAGGGACTCCAGGCTCTGGGCCTCAGGGGTGGCCCTTGGGATCTGCCGAGGCTCGCCACTGTCCTCGATAACGATGTCCTCCTCGTCGCTGTCCTGGTCCTCTGGCTCGAAGCTGGCTTCCACCTGCTGCGGGTAGCCCAGAAGGCTGTTGTCGGTGGACTGGCTGGAGCTGCCGGAAGTCCTACTGTTCCTCACCACGTTGTTCCTCTGGTTGGCCGGGCGCACAGTGATGATGAGGTTGCGGCTATTGGCGATCATCATGTCCGTCACTTGGTCCAGGCTCTTTCCTGACACCTCGATACCATTGACTTCTAACACCTCATCGTTGACAGCCAGCAGTCCTGTGCTCTGGGCCAGACCCCCAGGAACGAGCCTGGATATGAAGATCCCGGGCACTTTCTCTAAGCCATGTGGCGTCACCCGGACACTGGAGCCATCCCGGATGTAGAAGCCCAGGGGCTTCTCCGTGCCGTACTTGTACAGACGGACCCTTCGGTGTGTCTCCGGGAGGATGTCCACATCTATGATGGACGACACAGGCCGGAAGTCCTGGGGCATGCTGATGACGATGTGGGGTTTCTTCCTGTGGTTGTCGGGGCGCAGCACGTGGCTCAGCACATTCTTCTTCCTGATCAGGGTGTCTGTACCAAAGGCGCTGTAGTCAGCTTCTTCTGCTTGGAGAAAGCAGACACGGGATGGTTAGAGAGCCGCAGGGAAACATCTGCCCACAGCAGACCAGGCAGTGCGCACCGTGCGTGCAGATCAGCAGCCGAGGGTTAGCTCACTCAGCCAGCCCACAGAACTGCACCGGTAACTGCCACGCCACAAAAGAACACTAGAGGGCCCTCTCGGACACATCGCAAAGGTCACTAACTACTGAACCACACTAACTGGCCAGTGAAATTCTGACACAGCCAGGCATGACCCACACACCTGTTGTTGTCCCTGTGCTGTGGCACCTAAGACAGAAGGTAAGAGGATCTCAAGTTCAAGGCCAATCTGAGCTATTTCACGGCACGCTTGGGTCAGCCTGGACTATATCCTGAGACCCTGTCTCAAAGCCTAGAAACCAAAACACCCGGAACAAAATTAAAATTAAATTTAAATAAACAAATTGTGGTAGATCCTTCACGTTTACACTTCTTTCCTCTTTCTCAGGTGGAGAGTCTCACGCTTCTGGGCTCGCTCAGTCACCCAGGCAGCTGAGACCCTGCAACTCTGTGTAGGTAAGTCATGTCACCACTCCCGGGCACAACTTCATTCCTTCCCACCTTCCTGCCTGCAGGGTTTTTCCCTGTACTTAAGGCAGTCCTCCTGCCTCAGCCTAAGGGCTGTGATTACAGGATGTGCCACAATGCTCAACACACAAACTCACTTTTTAAAATCAGCTTGGGCCCGCAAGATGGCTCAGTGGTAAAGGCGTTTGCTGCCACACCTGAGTTGGTTCCTGATCCACATGGTAGAATAAAGAATCAACTCTCGTAAGTTGTTCTGACCTCCACAGGCGCACTGTTGGCACACATGTACACACATAAATAAGTAATCTTAAACCAGAGTGGCTCACACCTGCAATCCCAGCTCTTGTGCTGAAGAGGCAAGAAGATCAGGAGTTCAAGGGCAGCCTCAACTACACAGTGCGACAACAGCTTGGGCTACATGAAATTCCCTCAAAAATAATTTCTTTAAATTTGAATTTACAAATATTTAAAAATTTTAATTTACATGTATGGGAGTTTTGCCTACATGTATGTATGTGCACCACAAGTGTGCTTGGTGCCCGCACAGAAATCAGAAGAAGGCAGTGGATCCCCTGGACCTGGAGTTATAGACAGTTGCAAGCCATTATATAAGTGCTCAGGATAGAACCTGGGTCCTCTGGAAGAACAGACAGAGGGAGTTCCAGGACAGCCAGGGCTGCACAGGGAGACTGTCTCAAAACACACACACACACACACACACACACACACACACACACACAACATCAAAAAGAAAACCCTTGCGATACAGTTTTGCTCTGTAGCCATGATGGCCTGGTGCTCACTATGTAGGCCAAACTGGAGCAGTCCCCCTGCCTCTGCTTTCGCTGGGCTAGATTAGCATTGTCCCGATATGCCAGATTAAAACAGCTCCTTTAAATGTGTGTTTCCCTTCATTTAACCTCCACTCTGCATGCTTATCACATCCAAAACAAAAACAGGGGAAGGGACACTCATTCCAAGGAAATCAAGAGCAAGATGGCTGGGGTGTGGCGGGGGTAAGGGCACTTGCCTTGGACTGCTGAGGGCCCTGGCTTCAGTTTTAGCACCAGCAGCTTCAGTGTGGGAGGGGCAGCCAGAGGGAGGAAAGCTGACCACACAGGGGCACGCATAGCTTAATTAAGTGACGCCAGGGTGCGGCAATTGCTTTGGATATTTGTCTCACAGCAAACGAACTCCCTTCTGCCCCGTGGGCTCTGAATCTCTCACTCCCCACTGACAGAGGCAGAGATGTGGGATCTTCCATGTTTTCTACGGTGCCGGTGCGACATCAGTGCTGTGACAGACTGGGGGCAGGGTGGGAAGGACTCTGGCAAACTTGGAGCTCCTGCTCCGTCTACGAGGCACCGAGTCTATCACCCAGTTCCCAGCAGATGTGCATCCCCCGCCCCCACAGTGCAAAGCCTTGTTTTCAGTAAAACGTCCTTTTTGCCGGTGAGATGGTTCAGTGGTTAGGGTGCTTGCTGCCAAGTCTGATGACCTGAGTTTGAGGCCCACTGCCCATAGAGAGCCAACACACACACACACACACACACACACACACACACACACACACACACGGTTACTATAAAGAAAGACCAATGATACCTAATGAGTGACAACAAAACCCCACCCCATCTAACTGCGCAGCTGGATGAACTCCTCAGGCCAGTGGAGTCTGCCACATGCTGAAGAAACACTGAGTGAGCCCCACACACCGCTGTCACAAGGTGAAGGCAGAAAACTCAGATGAAACACCAGGGTATGAAAATGAAGGGCCACAGGGAAAAGGAAATGACCAGCAGGGAGAGCTGAAGGCCACGTCAGGGCTGGGCTTGGAGTCCTGAGGCACAGGAGGCTCAGACAGGACATCTGAGTTAGAGCCCAGGCTGGGCTACACCAGGGACCTTATCTCAGAGAACAAAGCAAAAACCTAAAACAAACAACCGAGCAGAAGCCAAAATCAAAACTATCGGAGAAGGCAGTCAATTAACAAAGACAAACAATACTTCAGTAGCAACAGGACTACAGGGCTTGGGACAGGGAAGCTGAATCGGGAGCCCAAGGCCATCCATCCTCAACTACACAGTGAAGCCATCCTGGACTACACAAGACCTTGTCTCGAACACCAACAAAAACCCAAACAAACAAACAACAGCAAAACCCAGGTTTGCAGTACGCAAACCTCTCCTGCACTCCTGATCCCCCACAGTAACTAGCTGGAAATTCTGGTTATGAACAGCCTGGGCCCTGCAGGCCCCTAGCTGCCTTCTCAATGGACCTGCCACAGCCAGGGACACCCATCATTATCTTCCGTTCCCAGCCCAGGGGATTAGGAATACAAAATAATCCCAGACAGGGTGAACCCAGGTGTTTTTACTGGACCACTAAGGTCCAGATTCCCACCGCGAGGGACAGCTGCTGGGGTGGGAGTGTTTGGTTCTTCCTCAGGCCCTGAGAAGAGCACTAGTGATACCCTGTCTCAGCACCTGCCACCCATTACGTTCTCACAGTCTGTGTTGTGTTGTGTCCTTACGCAGAAAGTTGCTTTATAGTTAGGTTTGAGAAATAAATCCATCGAAGCAGGAGGTTTTGGCAAAATCTCGCTAAAAGCCGTTAGGATTAGTCTTTCACTGAACTGTTTATTTCAGAACAACCAATAGTGGAAGCCCACGTAACATGCCTAGGGAAATTCCAAACCAGAAAACGGAGAAGGCCACCAAGCTGCCTACATGCCTGATCATGGGAAACCCTACCGAGAAAACCCAAATCTGCATAATTTGGCACGGCCTAAGACTCCCTCTGAATGCTCGCTCTAAATTCTCAGAAACACTATGCGGCACAAAGGCACCTCTGTTCTCCCACCCAGCTAATCAGTTTCCAGCCACTGGGAAAGAAACGCACTGGCAGCAGGCCAGGGTGCAGGGTGTGAGTGTAAAGTGTAAAGGTGACCGTCCAGGAGGGCCCAGCTGGAGGCCAAGGTCACTCCCAGAGGCCACAGGAGTCCCACAGACCCACAGCAGACCTGACCCAGGCCAAGGAACTGTATGGAGAACTCTGTCCGTCAGCCAACAATCTCTGCTCACTGACCCTGACAAGGATTCACCTAGAAGCTTCTGAGCAGCCAAAATGGTGCCTTCCCCACACACAGGCTCCCAGCATTCCTAACAGTGAGCCCTGCAGGCCTCCCCCTTGGCTGAGACCTCTTTAAACATTAGTTCTGGAAGATGGTTCCCTCATCTGAGCACACTGAGGGCCCAGACTCACACACTTGGATGAGGGTGAGCCCATTGTGATGGCAGGCAGACAGAGTGCCCACAGTGAGGAAAGCAAACATGGTAAACAAGCTTCAGAAGGGCAGCAGGCATTCCTGGAGAGGAAAACCCAGCAGACACCCAGCACAGTCCTCAGAAGGCTCAAGAGCTTGTCACATTGGAAGTTCAGAGGAAGACAGGGCAGCTGGACCTAGTGGCACAGGCCTGTGAGGTCAACTACCTGAGGCTGAGGCAGGGGAATTGGCTCCAGGCCAGGCTGGATACATCATGGAGACTTTGTCTCAAAATAAAACAAAAAGGGCTTGTCATGGCTGGACATGCTCACCTATACCCCAGCACTGGGACAAGAGGTAGGAGGATCAGGAGCCATCTTGTTATACAGCAGGGTTAAGCTAGTCCCTGTCTTAAAAAAGAAAGGGAGGTGAGGTGAGATTGGCTTAGAGGGTTCAATGGTAGGACGATGACCCAGGAGGCATGAAGCCCGGGGTTCAACCCTAGTAACAAGAAAGAAGTGAAGAGTCCACGTGTGGAGGTATTCACAGTACTCAGAGCTGAGGCACTGGGGGTGGACACAGATCGCTGTGAGTTCAGGACCAGTCTGGGCTACAGAGCAAGACCTTGTCTGGTTTTGCAGGGCACTCCGTGCGTCTTCTACCACCAGCCGTGGGCAGGATGTAAAGGAAGGAGTACGAAGATGTGTTTCAAGAAAATGTCCCCCAAACATCAGGCCTGCCTGCCAATCCCTCCCAATGCACAATTATAGAATGTCATTTTAGCCAATGCTCAGATCATGGAGACCCCTTCACTCCCCTACAGAAGAAGAGAACACCCACTACTTCACAAGCCATGCCTGGCACCATGCTCTGAGGTACAGCCAGTGAAGGAAGCAGATGGGCATTTGCCCTCACAGTGCTGCGGGCCTATGGAGAGACAGCACAAGGAATGCCAAACAGTCAGCAGCAGGACTGTTAGAGACTCAATGGGCTGGGCTCTGTGAAGTGAGTTGTCTCCTGAGATGAGGAAAGCAGTAGCAGGTGACGGGGTAGGAGGGGGAGGAAGGTTTCAGATGCAGAAAGATTGGGCAGCGGTGGGTGAAGGAGTCTGATACACCAGAAAGGAAGGGGTCACAGTGGAGGTGCAGACAGGGCTCCTGGCCAGTGCCAGGGCTGAAGGACTTCACGTGGGTTATGAACCCGGACATGATAACTCATCTGGGTTTTCCAGAAAGCTCCCTGATGCCAAATGGAGAAGACGGAGCTCTGAAGGCACTGAGGAGGGTGACCAGCCTGGGGCAGAGGCAGCACTGACAGGACACGCCTGTGGAAAACAATCAGTGTGCGCTGTGGTCTTTGTGACTGAGGACGCACTGGCTTAGCGGTGGGAACACGGCTTTCTGTCACGAGCAACCAAGATGTCTTGTGAACCTCGGCTCTACAGTTTCTGGAGTAAAACCTTTTGTGGGAGTATCAACTTTTGTGTTTATTCAGAGGCTGGTCCTGAACCCACTTCCTACCAGGGTTACAGGCTCGTGCCACTACTCCTGCCTCTTGTGAAGAGTAACTACCATGCCTCTCTTGGCCCGTATTAAAATTAAACCCTGGCTCATTAAAATGTAACCTCAAAACACAGCTACAAAGTCATGTCCGGTGCCGGGTCAAGGTCTAAGAACTGATTTTCTGCCAGTTACAGATGTGTGAGCCACAGAACCATGTCCTGAATGAGCCCAGCAGAGCAGGAGGCCCTGCCAGCGCTGCTCACACACCCTAAGACACAAGCACCGCGGCGAGAAGGCTAGAAACAGGACGAGACTGAGGAGAGGACGCTGTGCTCCAACTCGTCTTGGATCCCAGACTGAGCAGATCTGGGAACATCCCCCTTCTCTGTCCCAACCCTACAGTGACCTGGTGGGGTTATGTTGTTGTTCTGAGACAGAGCCTCAGTATGGAGCCCTGGCTGCACCGGCACTCAGAGAGCCGACTCCTCCGCCTCTTGAGAGCTGGGATTAGAGGGCTGTAATTAGTGCCACCGTAACTAACACTCTCATTGATTGTATGTGACTATGTGGTGTATGTGTGCATGCGTGTGTGTGCCAGGCCAGGAGGTCAGGAGATGACTTGTGGGAATTAGTTCTCTCCTTCTGCCTGTGGGTTTCAGGACTCCGACTCGGGTTGTCGGGCTCGGTGGCAAGCACCTTTGGCCGGGCCACAGCAGGAGAAACTCCAACCCCCAGGAGGGAGCTGAAAACCCTCTGTGAAAATAACTTTTCAGATATCGGGTTTTTGTTTTGTTTTATTTTGGCTTCCATGATAATAGCCCAAGAAACAGACTATGAGGTTTTTCTCCACAGAGAAAAGTGTTACAAAACAGAGCTTTCCGAAGCGTGCAACACACGCAAGCACCAGCTCTCAACCCGAGGAAGCTTTATTCAGCAGCATATCAGGTTCTAAAAGATCACACGGCTTTTAAACTTTAAGGGCTTTGGTTAAGCGTTTGAGAAAAAAGTCACTGAGGAGATGAGGGGTACAGCTCAGGGCACAGTGCTCGCCTAGTACTGAGGCCTTAGGTTCGAAACCAAGGACCACCACAAAACAAACAAGACAAACCTCTGGCTAAGAGAACAGACTGAGGCTGCAATTAAATCCCAGCACAGAGGCTGCAGAAGCAAGCATGCCTGAGTTCAAGGCCAGCTTGGTCTACATAGCAAGTTAGCAAGTTCCAGCAAGAGCTACACTGTGAGACCCTGTCTCAAAACACAAACAAAACAATAACGAACCAGAAAACAGACTGCTGCAGTTCTGCAGTAAAATGCAACTAGCCTCAACCCAGGCCCTCTGCTGGCTCCTCTCAGAGCCCCGGACAGAGGCAGCTTTCTGCCTGAGCTTCTGTTCGTTTTGTTTACAAAAGCATTCAATCTGAACCAGGATCACGTGCCCTGACTAAGTGTGTCCGACTCTGACACTGGGACCTGGTGGTCAACAGCATGCAAGCAATCCAGGCAGCCTATGCCTGTGCAAAAATTGCCTAGATCTGCAAGGGGAACTGGTTAGGGAGGTCCCAAGAGACCCTCTGGCAAAGACAGAGGCAGAGCAGGGAGCTCCCAGGTCACAGGGCAGAATGAGGCACTGCAGCAGGCGGGGTGTCGTGGTAGGGTGCTCAGTGCAGGAAGGTTTGGCTACTCTGTTGACACCGAGACTCCATTAGCTGCAGCAGGCGACAATGTTTCAAGCAGCAGCTCACTGGCTGACCGCCTTCCAATGTTCACTAAAGACATAATGTAGCCATTACAGTCACACACTCTGTGCTTTAAGACTTATCCATTACCTGTGTGTCACTGTGTGCCATGGAGCACGTGCGGAGGCCAGAGGACAACTTCCGGGAGCTGGCTTCCTTCTGCCACCATGCTGGACGCTGGGGATCACACTGAGGTCCTCAGTCTTGGTGGTAAGCTCCATGCTAGCTGAACCACCTCACTAGCTCTCACGATGCACTTATGGCTGATCTGGAACTATGTAGTCCAGGGTACCCAGCAACTAACCCTCAACCCTCCTGCCTCCACCTGACTTAAATCTACATGTGCGCGCATGCACACACACACACAGAAGCATACATATGTACATTACACCTATTCACTTGCTTTGTGTGCATGTGCCCACATGCCATGCTAAGAGAGAAAGTTCAGAAGTCAGTTCTCTCCTACCACCTGTTCACTGGGGATAGGAAAACTCAGGCTGTCAGGCTTCGTGGCAAGAGCCTTTATCCACAGAGTCATCAAACCGCCCCAGAGTGGTATTTTTAAACACTAAAAATCTCCCAGGCATGGTGGCTTGAGCCCTTAATCTCGGCACCTGGAAGGTGGCAAGCACATCCCTCTCCCTCACAAAACAAGTGAATGTAAAATGTATATACTGGGCTGGAGAGATGGCTCAGCAGTCAAGGGCACTGGCTGCTCTTCCAGAGGATGGGGTTCAAATCCCAGCATGCACATGGCAGCTCACAACTGCCTGCAACTCCAAGATATGACACTCTCACACAGATGTACATGCTGGCAAAACACCAATGCACGTAAAATAAAGGGAAATGAATTTTAAAAAAATGGATGCATGATTCTTTAAAAAAAAAAATATATATATATATATATTTACACATATATAATTGTTGATAAGAAAGGGTCATTATTCAACCAAAACGACCACGTTTGCTTAAAATGATGAGTTCCATCAATGTCCTGCCCTGCTCTCTCCCAGAGAGAGTCATGATCCAACAGCTCCTAGGTATGACTTCAAGGTACTGCCTTGCTCTCCAGTTCTGCTCTTCTTTCAGCTTTTATGTTGCTTTGCTCTTTTTGTCTTGTTTTGATTTTTCGAGACAAGGTTTCTCTGTGTAGTCCTGGCTAACCTGGACTTCCCTCTGTAGACCAGGTTGGCCTTGAACTCACAGTGATCAGCCTGCCTCTGTCTCCCCAGGTGCTAGGATTACAGGTATGTGCAACCGTGACTGGCTTGCTCTGTCTTTTTGAAACAGAGTCTTGTTATAGAGCCCAGGCTAGCCTCAAACTCACAGTACTCTGCCTGCCTTGAGCTGAGGTTATAGGCATGAGCCACTGTGTACGGCTGCCATGTTTCTGGTATGCCAATCTCTAGATTCCCACCCCCAACCCCAGACTGTCATGTCTAACCCACATGGGGTGGTCAATTCTGAAGACTGCAGAGATAATTTGTTAAGCCTAGGACCAAACTTACCATTTTCCCTACAATCCCACCTCATTGCCGGATTCTGACAATGTGCTAGTTACTGGGCTCAAAACCACAGCTGTGCTCGGCTGCCCCCCTTGCTGCCAGCCGGCTCTCCATCTCTGTCTCTACCACCTGCTCCTTGCAAGCAGACAACAGAGCCTCTTGCATTCTGTGTCTGCTGTGAAGCCGGCCACCTACCATGGGCACTTGGGACCATTAGCACTAACTCACTCAGGACAGACTGCAGCCCATCAGCAGATGGGACTGGTAGACTCCAGTTTCTCCAATCCCAGAAGAGCAAAGAAACCAGGTTACAGGTATGTCAGAGCCCTGGGAGCAGTCTAATGTTCACCTTCCTTCCTTTCAAGCTGCTTTCTAGGTTTGCTGGAAACCTGCAAGGTCTTTATCCCACTCCAGTTCAATGCTCCCCCTCCCCTTTTAAAAACTGTTTATTTATATTTGGTTTTGTGAGAAAGGGTTTCTCCGTTGACAGCCCTGGCTGCCCTGGACTGTCTTTGTAGACCAGGCTGGCCTCAGACTCAAAGAGATCTGCCTGCCTCTGCCTCCCAAGTGCTGGGATTAAAGGCTACACAGAGAAACCCTGTCTCAAAAAAACAAACAAAAAAAATACACACATATATATATATATATATATATTTTTTTTTTTCTTCTTCTATAAATTCAGAATGCTTGGACATTAATTAAGCCAGCAATATCATGATGCTTTAGCTCCTTGTTCTGCTCAGCGTAAGACCTGCACCGGAGACAGAGCCACTAGGTCAGAGGCAAAGCCATGCGCCCCTGCAAGGGAAGGTGTGCCCTCCGCAGGAGGCACTCACCCTTCTTCTGTATAAAGATCCTGAGCAGTGGGCTGGCAGTGGAGACGGCCTTGTGGTAGTTGTCGTCATTGTTTATGGGCAGCAGGTCCCCATGGATGTCCGCGTAGCCCACCAGCACGTCGACGTTGGGGATCTTGTGGACATGTTGCAGCAGTCCGTAAAACTCCTCGAATTTTCCAGGCTTGGATCTTTCTAGTGAAAACCGACGAAATTCGGCTCCGAACTACAAATATAACAAATGCATGAGAGAGAAAGTTAGCCGGGTGTGGTATGCCTTTAGTCAGAGGCAGAGGGAGGCAGAGGGAGGCAGAGGCGGGAGGATCTCTGTGAATCTGAGGACACAGAAGGCCTTGCTGTGAACCTCACTGCCAGGAGTGGGGGGCAGAGAGGCACAGAGGCTACAGCCCTGTATCAACTGAGCTCCAGCCTTGTCTAGCACCAGATTCATCCACAGGCCTAACTCCCCACCCCTGATGTAAAAGCATTATCTTTTCACAGGCTGTAAGAGTCAGATCTAAGTGGACTTTGAGCTTCTTGGCATGAAATAAGTGATGTCATCATGTAAGAAATATTCTTACAGACAGGAAGGGAGCATCTTCCCCAAGTTAGTGTTAAAAAGAGAAAGCTTATTAACACATCAGCTTTAAATCCTGCCTGATCTGGTTAAGAAGCCTGTTTGTGTGCTGGGCTCAGTGCTGGGCTCTAGGGAAGGGGAGGCTGGCCTGCTTCAAAAGCTTGGCAATTAGTGGGTGAGGAGAATAATCACCTCAGGGAGGCAGGAGATCACAGGATGGCAGGAAGCACCCTGGGCCATTCCCCCATTTACCTTCCAGGTCCCCCAAGGCCACACATTAAAGTGCTTCCTAACTCCCAGTGGGACTGGCATAGCATACTCTCAAATGGGGAACCTAAGAAAGGTTCATCTACCGTCTTCTGAAAGGGCTGCCTCACATAATTTTAACCCCCTCTTTAGAGGTCACTGGGTACACAGCATATTAAATGTTCAGCTAAATGCCAGGGGCTGGGCTGGAGAGATGGCTTGGCAGTCAAGAGCGCATGCCGTTCTTGCAGGGAACTGGTTCAGCTCCCGGCGCCCACAAACACCTCTAACTCCAGTTCCAAGGATTTGATGCCCTCTACTGACCTCCAAGGGCCCCAACTGGCACACACATGGTACACATAGATACACACAGAAAAAACACTCACATAGTAAATAGAGAAAAAAAAAAAAGGAAAGGAGGAGACTTTGGCTCGCCCCACGAGTTGAGGTGGGAATAGTTAATTCCCACTGTTAACCTTTTTTCTTTTTTTCTTTTTTTGAGGCTGGAGACATAGGTCAGTAGTAAAGAATGGACTTAGGTGTGCAAGGCTCTCGGTCCAGAACCCCCATGAAAAAATGTGTAAAGTAAATGTCCGCTAAACATGTTTGACCACCAGGCTCCTTTTCTGTATAGATTCCTAGAGAGCCAGCAGGTGCCAGGCAGAGAAAGGCCCTCATCCCGGCAGGCATTCACAACCAACAGCAAGCCAGGCCACCCAACCACCCAGCCTTTTCTCTACCTATGGCCCACCCACCTCTAACATGCACTGTTCACTACCCATGGTTTGACCTTAAAACAAAATTTACTGGACACTTCTTACTCTTAACAAATTCAAAGTTTCCAAAAACACATTCCTGAGATATAAACACTAACACTTGTCAAGAAAATCAGGTGACTCATATTTAAAGTTCTCAAAAAGTTCGTCACACCTACACATTTCAGAGTAAATAAAACCCAGGGAACACCCTTCCTATCAGTCAGTCTTATGATGTTATCAGAGGCAGTTTCTCCTCCATTTTCTGGAGGCTGGTCTCCCAGCACAGCAGAGTCCACAGTGCAGGCTGACTCACCTCAGGCTACCACCTCCCCTGGAGTCTGAATGGGAATACACCTAATCAGTTAACCCTTTGGGTTTCCCCCAAAGCTTCTGTCTGCAAGTTCTTTGCTCGTCACTTTCTTCTCTGGCTTAAGTATTTAGATACAAGCAGCAGATGACCGCCCCCCCCAATGTTGGCAAAGGGGAGGGGTGGGAACGGGCACTTCTTGCAGCAAAGTAGGATTATAGGAACCTCTTAGGACATGAACAAAAATTAGACAGAGATGAAATCAACCCAACCAACAATTATTCATCATGTAATTTTTCTGGCTTGGAATCCAGATGTACACGAACTTGTTTCCCAGCATCTGCTGGCATCTTCCAGAACTTAGTTTTCCGGAGAGAAGGGGAATGGCTCCTGTGCCTATGGAAGAACAGCCTGTGCCCTTATGCACTGAACCATCTCTCCAGCCCTAATGTTGTCTGTCTGATAGGATCTCTGTGTGCAGCTTCAGCTGCTCTTGAACTTGCAGTGGGAGCTGGGATTATGGGGGTGCTGTACTGTTAGTATTGTACCAGCCCATGAAGAGCAATTAGGAGTGTACATCTCAAGACTGCTCCAAGGCTTTGGGGGAGGTGATTGGCTGTGGTGGAGATGCATCCAGGCCTGAGTATGCCAGTCAGGCTCCAATGCAGCAGCTACAGCCCCCGCCCTTGGGACCAAGGTTACTTAAGGACATCGATATGATTACAGAGAACTTTCTGGCAAAACAATCAGGAAGATAAACCAGTTACCAAAGAAATCACCTAGTGGCTGGCATCACACTTCTAACTAGATCTATATTTACACGATCCATTATTTTGTTATCTGTATCATGTCTCCCTTCCCAGAGCAAAGATAATAAGTTGACACTGTTGTTTCTTTCTCCTTTTTTTTTTTTTTTTTTTTTTGGTTTTTCAAGGCAGATAGGGTTACAGAGTTTCTTTGCATAGCCCTGGCAGTTCTGGAACTCCCGCAGACCAGGCTGACCTCAAACTCGGAGATGTGCCTGCCTCTGCCTCCCAAGTGCTGAGATTAAAGGTGTGTGCTGCACCCAGCTGACATAATTGTTTCTGTGAAGGAGACCCCAGCATGACCCGCACACTATCCAGTTTTGGTTAGGAATTCTAACTGTGGTAGTATATAAGTGAAACTGGCCCAGCAAAATGGCTCCGAAGGTAAAGTACTTCTGTCAAGCCTCACAACCTGCATTCAGATTGTGACCCGGGACCCAAGTGGTGGTGAGAACCAACTTCTGAAAGTTGTCCCCTGACCGCCACACTCACACTGTGGTACCGTGAACCCCCACACACTCAAGTACACCAAGTGATCAAAATGTATAATGAAAATTTAAATGAATTTTTACCATTCACATAGCATAAAATGAACTTAAAAAACCCGCGCTAAGCTAGAACTAGTGACACATGTCTTTACTCCCAGCAGAGGCAGTCTGATTTCCGAGTTCAAGACCAGCCTGGTCTACATAATGACTCCAGGAAAAAGGATACAATGGAAAAGGGCACTCACTGCTCTCACAGAGGACCCTAGTTTATTCCCCACCCATGTCTGCTGGCTCACAAGCCCATGAAGCTTCAGCTCCAGGAGAACCAACACCCTCTTCTGGACTCCACAGATGCCTGCACTCGTGCACACATGCACACACGCGCACGTGCACTCGCATGCGCACTCGCACACGCACGCACACACACACACACACACACACATATTTTTTTCCCGAGACAGGGTTTCTCTGTGTAGCCTTGTTTGTGTACTCACTGTGTAGTCCAGGCTGGCCTCAAACTCACAGAAATCCACCTGCCTCTGCCTCCCAGAGCAATGGGATTATAGGCGTGCCCCACCATGTCCAGCTACAATTTTTTTTTTTTTTTTAAGAAAAAAAAAATAAAGAAGTAAATCCCAGCACTTGGAGGCAGACTCTGAGTCCCAGGCCAGCCTGGTCTATAGAGTGAGTTCCAGGATAACCAGGGCTACACAGAAAAAACCTGTCTCAACCCCCTCATCCCCAAATAAGGTCCACAGACTCTGGCCTATGCTGTCATTTGTTGACAGGTGAGACAATGGGACGGCACTTCCTGAGTGTATGTTCTGACTGCCCGGCTTCTGTTTAGGAGTGGCTGGGCAGTGGTGGCATAGGCCTTTAATCCCAGCACTTGGGAGGCATTGGAACATGGATCTCTATGAGAGCGAGGCCAGCCTGGCCTATAGGGTAAGTTCCAGGGCAGCCACAGCTATTCAGGGAAATCCTGTCTAAAAAAGAAAGAAGGGAGGGAGGGAGAGAGGGAGGGAGGGAGGGAAAAAGAGGGAGGGAGGGAGGAAAGAAGGAAGGAAGGAAGAAAGAAAAGAAAGAAAGGAAAGAAGGAAGAAAGAAAGAAAAGGTAGTACTCACTACAAGTATAGTATAGCAGCTGAAATACACACCACATACTTTGGCCAGAACTATGTAAAATATTCAAAAATCAGTAGATAGAAAAGAAAAACAAAAAGCCTGAAATTCCAGTCCCCAAGAGCTGTTTCCTACCACCGGAGACCCACTTCTACCTGACTTATTGGCACACCTAGAATCTCTATTCGTTTTTTTTTTCTATGATAAAAATTAAAGGCTCAGTACCAAGATTGGGAGTAAAAAAACTGAGTGTCAGTATTATACAACATCACAAGTGGTTTTCTTTTCTGACCTCAAGTCCCACAAGCCAAACTACAGAAAAATGCCAGGAGAAAGTTCATGTGCTCGGCCTGCCACAGACAGCCACAACAAAGCTAGAGAGAAAGAGTGCATTTCTACAGTCATTGTCCTCTTTCTATTCTTTCTATTTCTTTTTTTAAGTTTTTTTTTTTTTTTCCAGAGAGGGTTTCTCTGTGTAGCTTAGGCTGTCCTGAACCAGGCTAGCCTTGAACTCACAGTGAACTGCCTACTGTTGCCTCTCTGAGTGCTGGGATTACAGGCATGTGTCACCGCCTGGCATCACCTCTCTATTCTAACAAGTCACCTTATTGGCTATGTCATAGAGAGCACAGCCCAGGAACAGTGTACTCCTTACACCACCATAAAACACAAAACAAAAACACTACCTGTACATGTGTGTCTCTGCGCATCTATGACAAGTGCAGGTGCCCTGAGAAGCCAGAACATCAGATCTCCTGCAGCCGGTAAGTGGCTGCAGAGAAGGCTCAGTGGTTAACACACACAGCCGCTGCTGCTCTTCCAGAGGCTCTGGGTTTGGTTCCTGGCACCCACAAGGTGGCTCACAATTTTAACTCTAAATCCAAGGGATGTGACTCCCTGTTCTGGCCTCCTAGAGCACCAGGCATGCAGGCACTTATACACACGAAATACCAAGTTTTTAAAAGGCAATTGTTGCTTGACAGGGTTGCTGAAAACTGAATGTTGGTCTCCTGCAAGAGCAGTGCCAACACTCTTAACTGCAATGCCATCTCTCCAGCACCAACAGCCCTGTTATTACTAAAACAGATCTGTGTTTGAATCTAGTGCCTGTTCGGATACATAAGTCCCTCCCTCCCTTTATTAACAGACTGGGTCTCAGCCTGTGCACCCAGGCTGGTCTGGAACTCTTCCAGTTTCACTTGTCTTGCTACATAGTAAATTCCAGATTAGCCTGAGTTAGAAGAGATTAAAAAAAAAAAAAAAAAAAAGACATTAAAAGCAAATGTAGATCTGTGACACTGGGTTATAGAACTTTGCTCTCAAGCCCAGAAACCACCAACCTCACCCAAAGACTCCAGACAGCTCTCCTCACCCGACTCCTGGGACGACTCCTGGGACTGACACTCCCCCAGCGGTCTCTCAACCCCCACACTTAGTATTTTTGCCGTGGTGCGCACTACCCCACTCCTTTTGTATGACTTGCTTCAAGTCTATCCTAAATTCTCCCGGTCGGCAGAGCCCTCTGAGCACTGTCCTACAAGTTGTTCAGCAAAAAGCCACCCGGCAAGACGTGGTCCTAGAGCAGAGCTAGGGGGAAGTCACGCCCTTTGGGAAGCTGGTCATCTTGTCATCGTAGAACTCCCAGAGAACCAGGCTATACTATCCCGCTCCGACTGGGCTTTCAAAGTCAGGAGGAGCTTGCCGACACGTATACCACCTTCCGATTCCATCTGAAAAGCCCCATTTTGGAAGAACGCATTCCCTAGCTAATCCCACAGGTTAGTCTGCTCAGCCAGCCTTGAGACTGAGGAATTCCTCGGACACTGAAGTCACTGCCAGCAGACTGCCAGACCCGCCAAGGGGGAAAGCACTCGAAGAGTCGGAATGAAAAGAGCAGCAGCGTCTCACATTGTCAAGTGCTGCTCCACAGTAAGACGATAGCGTTAATTTCATAGATTAAATGCATACCAAAGTTAGAGCTGGAAAAAGAGAGGCTCTCTTGTTGTATTCGAGGTACCCCCGAGCCCCAAGAAAGGGTTACATGATAAGACAACAGGGTGCTCCGAAAGCCTCTGACTCCTGCCCGTGGGGTGAAGGGATTCCCCAAAGCTATCGCATCACCTTGCGTCGGAGCGGTCCCCATCCCACCCTTAAAGCAAGGCGGGAAGACGGAGGATGGAAAACAGGGGCTGCGCCGCGGAGCAGACGCGAGCGCTCCCCGCCGCCGCTCTCCGCCACCAAGTTTCTCTCCTACGTGCTCCAGCCGGCAGATCGCCCTCCGCCCGCGTCCTCCCCGGGGCAGCCCGGGTCCAGCATCCCGCCGCCTCGCGTCCTCCCCGGGGCAGCCCGGGTCCACCATCCCGCCGCCCCGCCCGGCCGCGCACCTTGCTCTTCACCTCCATGGTGCCCAGGCAGCCGCTGCTCAGCCCGTGCCGGTGGCCGCGGTTCATGCTGAGCGCCCGGCGGCGGCGGCGGCGGCGGCCTCGTCGGGGGCCGGCCCTCGGGAGCGCGGGCAGCGGGGCCGCGGAGCGCGGGCTCGGGGCTCGGAGCGCCGCTCGGCGCCTCGTCACCGCACCTGCCGGGGTCCGCGCAGCGCCGTGCCTGCTGCTCCGCGGCGGCCGGAGGGTCGGGTTGGCAGTGCGGCGGGCGGAGACTCGGGTCCCTCCCAGCGAGGCTCGGGGGCGGCGGCGGCGGCGGCGGCCGCGGTGAGGAGAGGGCGGAGCACAGTCCCACAGCCGCCGCGGCCTCGCTCCTCGGCTAGCTCCCCGGCGGGCGCGCGGGCGCGGCCCGGTGCTCGTGCACGCCAGCAGGGCTGCAGCCGCGGCACGTGCACGCGCTCACCTGCAGCCTCCAGAGCAACCTCGGCAGCTCGCGCTCCGCCCACACCCAATAGGAAGCGCGCACCTGCGCCCGAGGCGCCAGCCAATCGGCACGCTGCCTGCGCGGCTCGCGCGGGGCGTGGGCGGGTCTCGTGCTACAAAGGCCCCGCCCACGGCCTCGCGATTGGTCCCGCGCTGGGAGGGAGGGGCGGGATCACCTGAAACTGTGGGGCCTCTCCGGATTGAGCAGAGGAGCAGCATGACGCATGCGCCGGCTGTGGAGTTTCCGCCCCGAGAAGGCAATGGGGAAGGCCGGCCGGAAGCGCGAGCGCACCTGAACAGCGGCTCAGGAGGGTGTGTTTTGTGCGCATGCGCGTGAGCCTTCGTGCCTGCTGGGCCGGGTCGGGAGCTCTCGAGTCTGTAGTGCGCCCTAGTCACAGGCTTGGAATGTGGAGTGCGGGCCGTACCCTTGCTCGGTGCTGCGGGGCGGCTGGGTGCCCGCGGGCCCCTCCTCGTCCTGGGCCGCCGGGCTGCAGCTCTTAGGCAGCCCCCTGAAACTCTGTCCCAAGATTCAAGTTTTCTCGGCCTGGTTTCGTGTGAGGAAGATGCGCTCTCGTCTAAACCAGAGATTCTCCACCTGTGGTTCCCGACCCCCCTGGAGATCCAATGACCCTTTCTCAGGCGTCACCTAAGGCCATCGGAAAACACAGAGATTTACCTTATGATTCATAACAGTAGCAAAATTAAAGTCATGAGGCAGCAACAAAAATTACTTTGGGGTTAGGGCTCACCACAACCTAAGGAACTGTGTTAAAGGGTCGCAGCGTTAGGAAGGCTGAGATCTTCCCTGTCCCAAGAGTGCCCTGGGCACCAGGAGAAGACCAGAGAGCTGAGGCCTGCGATGGTCCCCGCGGGCCCTGACTCTCTGCAGGCCTCCCCGTCTGGCCTCTGGGGGCTGAAGTCGTCTCTCCCGCTTGCTGTTTGTGCCAATGCCAGCCTCTGCTTGCTGTTTGTACCAAGGCCAGCTTCTGCGTTGTGTTCTGTTTTCCCGGGTGACTGAGCTGTGTCCCGGAGTAACAAAACACCAAATCTTAATCTCTGAGCGCCCCGACTGGGCTCCCGCCTCTGTCCTCTCCTGTTTTGTTTACCCGTTGGCCCTGCTGCTGCTAGGAGAAAGGAGACCCTCTAGATCCCCCACCCAGCGAGGGCTGAGGGCTCACTCCTCTCCCCTTGTACCTGGGGGCCCCATTTTCCTATTTTTCTTCCCGCTATGTGAGTTTTGAACGATATTCCTCTATGTTCAACGAAAGCTTCCCAGAGGCGGGGATAGCCCTGCTTTGCTCAGATAGCCAGTCTTCTGGCGTGCTCTTGTTTGTCTTTGGGACCGGGGAACCAAGTGAGTAGCTTCTCCAGGCTACACCCTCTGCCTTCAAAGATAAGAAACCCTCTTCCCTGAACGAAGAATCAGTTCACAAGATGTTGATAGGTGACTTTAAGGCTACCCTGGCTATTTGGGGGTGGAAAAAAACTATCCCAGACTGAATCACAAATCTGCCTTCCGACCCCACACCTGGGTGGTTGCAGCCCTGGTGGAAACAGCCAGTCAAGGGCCTAGAACCCTTCTTAACTGCATCAGCCCAGCAGTTGCCGCTCTTTGGGTCTCAAGACCCCTTTAACTGAACATTCCGGGGAACCTCGAAGTTTGTGGATGTCTATGAGTAATTTATTGTATTGGAACTAAAACCGAAACGCATTTAAAACAATACACAGTGTGCATTCCAAGCAGTCAAAGATGATGTCATCATTTGTCATGTTCCTTCTGGAACACTCCATCATTTGCTCCTGAGACAAGGAAGGTAAGAAGTGACACCTTAGAGTCATGAGAACAATTTGACTTTGGAAAATCCCCGAGCAAGCTTTCCAGGTGCTAGAGGACCCGTGGAACACTCTTTAAAACTGGTGTGCTGGAATCATGTCTGCCTTCTCGGACCTCCAATCTCAGCTTTCTCCCGGCTCTGCCCTGAGCAGGGTCACGCCTGGAGAACTGTGGACCGATGGCCCCAGCTCTGTGCGAAGGATGGCTGGGTGGCTGCTATTCCTGTTATCGGGACTGCTTTATCAGCTGCCTTAAGGAGGAAGCTCACGGGTGCCAAAGCACCTGCGTGGGCCCTGCATTCCTGGAGCTGTCGTCACGTCCGTCCTCCCCTCCCCCAGGGTGTGGCATCTCTCTCTACCTGGACTTTCCTTTCGAAGGGAGGGCCAGGCCGGAGCTTCCTGGATCTCTCAGGCAGATCTCCTGTGAGCCAGGGCTGTGTAAGGAAGGAATGTAGAAAATAGTGTGGGTTTGATAAAGGTGTTGTGGGGGAGGAGAGCCTGGTTGTCAGCTTTGCCTAAGGAGCCTGAAGACCAGAGAAACAGAGTGGATTAGATCTTGACTCCTGCCTCTTTGGTGTAGAGACTGAACCTAACCTCATTTCTTTCCCTCTCTTCTCCCTGCCCCCAAATCCTCAAGCCAGAGCTGATCCAGACTGACGTGAGGCATGAGAAGCTTCGAGAATTAGTGCTCAGTGGGTTGAGAGATAAGTAAGGTAACTGCCTGACCCGGCTCCATAAATTACAGGCTCCTCAGATCATGAGTCTGGGTCAGCAACGCTCTACACCCACACAACCCCTGAGACTACTTGGCAAAGGTTATGGTTTCACTCATTCCTCTTCTACCATGGTCTTTCTTTTACGTTACAAATGGTCAGCCTGGCTTAGTGGCTCAACACCTGTAACTCCAGCCCCCAGGAGGGTGAAGCAGGTGAATTGCCTAAAGTCAAGGCCAATCTGGGCTGCAGATTGAGACTCTGTCCTTAAAAATATCACTGGACCTCATGTGGCCATGCTCTCGGTGCTCTCGCTTGAACCCTCCAGCACTCAGGAGGGTGAGGCAGGTAGGTGTCTGAGGTCAAAGCCAGCATGGTCTACATAAGTTACAGGCCAGCCAGGATGATGGCTGATCTGGCACCACAGTCTGGCGACCTGAGTTCTATCCCCAGAACCCACAGAAATGGACTCCCTCAAGTTGCCCTCTGACCTCCGCACAAAAGCTGAGGCATGTGCACACACAACCAAAACACAGCCTGGGCATGGCTTACTTGGTCCAGCACTTGATGTGCATGCACAGGGAACTGAGCTCCATCTCCAGAGCCCTTGGTGTGGTGGTGGAATCAGGCCATGGTGGTACAAGCTTGTAATCCTAGCACTACGGAGACAGAGACAGGAGGATCCCTGCACCTTGCTCCCTGGCCAGCCAGCCTACCCTATTTGGTTCGTGTGCACCTGCACGAACCAAAACTCCAGACACTTAAATTCTTTAGAAATCTACCTTGTGAGGTGGAAATAGTTTGTAAATTTCCATGATTTTTTTTAAATTAGTATTTGACATAATGATCTTCTTCCTCCAACTCTTAGAGAAGGGGTTTGTGAAAAACCCAGAGGTAGTACTAAGTCTCTCTCTCTCTCTCTCTCTCTCTCTCACACACACACACACATACACACAGGGCTGGTAAAAGTTCTTCAAGGAAAGTCTCTGCCAAGTTCTTTCTCTTGGGTTGCTTGAGCTGCAGTCTTGATGGAGCTGGTTAATGATTTTTGAGAAAGAGCTGAAGTGTATATTTATGAATCTCTGGCTACTCACCCAAGCATTTTAAGCCCTTTAGCCGAGGCAGAATTCTGTCACATGGTCTCTTTTCTGGTTAATGGCTTATAATGCTTTACTGGTTTGGTGAGGGCCTAGGAGCCCATGGCTAGTGATGTGAATACATTATTCCGTTATTCCCTGTAGCCTTTTAGAGGCTTGCTGCTCCTTTAGTTAACAAACAAACAGAACTGGGCCTCTGCCTTGCTCTTGTTCTGATCCAGCCTTAGGTTGTGACCTTAACCCTCTCTGGGACCCAGTTTCTCTGTCTGTAAACTAGGGCCCAGGATGAGGTCATCTTTGCTATCCCTTGCTACCCCAAGCTCCCTGGCTCCTTAGGGATCTCAGAGAGTGATCCGTATTTCAACATTACCAGGGTGGGATGGCCACCGTGGTCCATGGCCAGGCTGCAGTCACTGGCCAAGATACTCCTCCCAGGAGGACTTGATGAGGATGCTGAGCCTGTTAGCACTGATATGAAACCTAACAGTTGCCAAAACTGGGCCTGAGTGCTTTTCCGTGGATTAACTGGCTTTAATCTTGCAGTCTTAAACTGCAGGAAAGCGTGTGGTGTCTGGAGGCACTTACGGATGGCCCGGCCTGTTCCCTAGGCTGACAGTTTACTGGAGTGCGGCTCTGCGCCTCCCTGGCTGGGTAGCATTGACCCCACTCTCTCAAGCACTCAGCACTCTCTTCTGTAAAATGGGAGGACAGTGGTGGCAATGCGTACTCTTATCTAGTTGTCACATCTTCCAGGTGGGAATGACACAAGACTGCTTTGCACAACACCAGGTTTGGGGAAGACATGCATGACTCTTACTGCCCAGTATTGGGGCCCACTAACAGCTCTGAGGGAAATGCCTAGAAATGAAATGGGAATGCAGCAAAACTCTGATTTTGTTAGCAAAATCAGGTGTGTATGTGCACGTGTCTGTGGGCATGCACGTGCAAAGGCATGAGTGCAGGTGTATATGTCTGTTACAGTCATATGAGTATACTTGTGCATGCACCTGTGCTCACAGATACG